AGCCAGAAATTCCAGACCTATTTCTGCCGACATCCTCTGGAGATGTCTGAGGATGTCTGTCATAACAGATGATGTCAAGTTGACAATATAATTGTAATTTAATAGAGAATTATAATGTGCAGAGAAAAGTAGCAGTCAGACAGATTTCAACATGTATCATAGCCTTTTGAAACACAATCACCGCAGCCAGAGGAAGAAAGAAAGCGTCCTTTGCAGCTTTTAGTGTTAAATACTGTAGCTCTCCACCCAGCACCTCCCATTGTATTGTCTTTCCATGACAATATGTTTAAACAGAATAATTAAGTTTAATTCCCCTGTTATTTAGCCTTAGGGACTAAATGTAGCCGATGAACCAGCGATTAACAGCAGCTCTCCGAGCTTGTTTGCAGCACTAAACTGTTGCGGATGTCTAATGGTCTGCACCCTGTTTTATTCATATATTCATTTTGCACAACTGACCCTAATCTTTTATGTGGGCAGATCTTTGTCCTATCATGGGTAATTCTTCAGCTGAGTTCATATTAGATGTAACAGGAGCAGCTCCACTTGCTTTGATCGTGGCAGTGAAAGTAATTGGTGCTGAGCTGGGAAAGAAGCAGCTTTAAGAAAGGTTTTATTAATGTTTGTGGGAGGTAAATATGGTGCCAGACTTCAAGCCGGGCTGTTTTTCTTGCCTTCTCATCACGGTTCCCAAGTGTTTGAATCCTCAGGGATACGCAGCTGTCCGGCCTTTTTTATTTTTATAACACTTCAACTGCTTCTTTTTTAATTAGCCAGTATGATCGGCCCAATTTAATCACTGCAGATCCTTTAAAAGGTATGTGTGAGTGTGAATATGTCTTTTAATAATGCAGATTTCAAAGTCCCCTGCATCAGTATCTATGCGGCCTGTCAAATTGCCTCGATCCCAAGTGACACTTCCTCCTCTCACTCTGTGACCTGGTGTCGTTCAGCACAAACCAGGTATGTAAGCTGTGAACATAAATATAAAGATGAAATGTTTCTGGTTGTCTTGAATTATATAGTAACAGTAGTGGGATTAGGTGGAAAAAAAACAAGCTCCACCTCCAGCAAACTGCAGATAAATCCAGATGAGACCATGTTTTCTCAGGTTAGGGTTACACTAGTGAAAACAGTGTTTTCAGCGTGTTTCATCTAAATTGTATGCATGTTGTTTTCTTTACCCTAGAATGGACCTTTATATTTAAATACTTTATATTTACATCAGGAGTGGGTCCTCTCTAGGGAGGCCGCCATGTTTTTTTAAACTTTTGAGTTTGGAAGGGGAGGGTGAGGTGAGGGGTATTCAGCTGCAATGTGCAACTTAACCCCCAGATGTCACTAAATCATACACACTTAACCTTTGAGTGTAATGTCGTGAGTGTCTTAGCGTCAGATGCGGGTCCAAACCTTCAGGTCACAAGCAAAACCATGACTTTTCCAGCTGAGCAGGAGCACACCTGATTCGAGCCATTTATTCAACTACATGTCATTCTTCACAATTGTTTTACTTTGGTACTGCCCAGCTAAGTCGAACTAGCATACGCCCTTAAAAAGACAAACTTTGTTTCACATCATATTAAATCTAGTCCACCGTCTGAGATCCTTAATAACAGCAAGGGACACAGCACTACAGCATCTTGAAAATACCAGTGATTGGACCTGGAAACAGATTTCACCAGGGGTGGATTTCGCAATGGGGACAAGGGGAGGGCAGAGCTTTCCCCCTTATTATCATTGCAAAGATAAGAATATAATTTCACATAGAGACATTGTGAAAGTCTGCTCCAAGATCATTGCAGTCCAGCTGACAGACTTGAAACGGCTGGTCCAGAAAGCTAAATCAATCATGAGCCAATCTGACCACGTTCTTTTGCCTGAATTCTCTTTAATGCCCTCAGGACGGCATTATCTTGCCCCTCCAAGGAAGACAAACACTTATGCCACTAGGCTAAAAATGCTGATGACAGCAGCAATTGATACATAGGCCAGGTCCTGTAAATGTATTATTATTTTTTTTTTCCCCTGGTTCTGTTTTTGTTGTTGTTCTTTACAATGACCTACTCTTACTCTCACAAATGTCAGATGTGTATTGATGAAAGGAGGAAAAGCTGCTCTCTATGAATGTTCTCTTTCTTTTCTTGTTGATGAGGCTTTTACTTTGACATTGGGGTTGGGTGATATGGACATAAATGCAACAATATTAAGGCCCTTCCCACTATTGCATCACAATATTGACATAAATATGGAAAATCACATGTTAAATGAACCAAGCGATGTTTATCATACTGGAGTACATGGTAAGGGATCTACACAGTATTACAATGTATACATTGTGATTCCTAAATACTGTATATTTTGCTATCTTGAATTAAGATAAATGTGTGTTATCAAAATCCCATTATATGAAACACAAATAAGACAAATACTGACACAGTGTCAGCCCTATTTGGTATAGTTGTGTTTTCTCAGACAGGAACAAGACTTCCCAGACTCCCACAGAGACCTGGAGTCTACCAGCACAAGGTTGTAAACAGCTCAGTGCGTTATCATGGCTAAGCACAACAAAGTTATCATCCTGCTCAAAGGAGGATGGTTTGACATTTAACTTGTTTGTACAGTTTAATATTTAACTAATTATTAACATCATTGCAAATGAGTTGTTACTCTATTTACTCTATTTTGTGCCTGTGAAGGGGTTTGTTTTGTCAAACAGACCTAAATTCCAGTTTACATTGGGTACTACATTCCAAACATTTTATTTTCCATCTACAGACTCAACAAGAATGTATGTTGCTGTATCCCACAGATATTGTAAAGATAAATCTAGTTGGAGGAGTTTGTTAGTTTGGAAATTATTATTTTTGCAATGTGTGACTTATTATTACATGATCTGTTTATCAGTTATGTATGTCAAATGTTTTTAATCATTTAAATACATTTTTAAATTAATTTCTTGTTTTATTTTGAGCATCCCATTTCAATTTTAGCATACAAACAATACTAATATAATTTATTTGTATAAATATATATGTGTTAATTTTAACACATCTTTGTCTTGAAATATGTACCACACATCATGTGTTATTATTATTATTGGAAAGTACACCATGGCAGGCATTGAACATGCAGTAAGATTATTTTTTTTATTTAGAATCATAGTACAGCCAGCCAACCATCATCATACACTGCAGCTGCAGATACCAGTTTTTTATCTGAGCACAATTCCTTGTGGATATAAACACAGTCCACCATCATGAGTCCCACCAGACAGTAGCAATCCCCTGTCAGTAATGAGTTAGCCCATCCAGATCAATGGTGTCCAGAATGTTGCTGTGTTGACATGTTTCACTGAAAGCCGTTCTTCATTTCACTCCAGATAGCTCACACCCACCAAGCCAGTCTCACAAAAATCACCGGCAGCTGAGTTTTGCTGCATTAAAGTTGCTCTTTTCTCACAGTTGATGACATGTAATATAACATTTAAATGCCACTTCCTGGGTTTTACTTATTTTGTTTGAGAACAGCATGACATTTTTTCTCTCATAGGTAGCGAATTCAAATCAGAAACCAACATGGGGTCTATAATCCATAAATCAATGTTGATGATATGTGACATTATTTGTTTAATTTCTATAAAAGCAAACAACGAGGTATCAACTGTATTAATTGTAGTTCAATGGGTTTATTCAGATATATGAGCTGGGACAAACACAATTTCAGTTCTGGGTACCAAGGTAACATTTTAATGAAGAATTGATGAAGAAGGGTTTGTGCCACTAAATGGTCACTACAATTGTTAATTTGTGCTCTTGCAGTCTACATGTTAGTGAGGGCTATTATATTAATATCAACCTGTATAGTACCAGACATCTGAGCTTCTGCAGTGAAGTTTATGTGTTCTTGTTTAATATAACCTTCATTGCTGAGTTAAATAATAGAGACAGAACTAGATTTACAGCACTGCGGTTGTATGCCTCCCCCGACCAGTGCAGTTTCCATGTAGACATTTCTACACAGTTTTTTCCCCAGAAAATATAAGGTCACTTTGACCTTTGACCACTGAAATGTAATCAGTTAATTAGTGAACTCAAGTGAAAATGTTCGCCAAATCTAAAAGAATTCCCTTGAGATGTTCCTGAGATATTACATTCACAAGGGAAAAACGTGTTTGAGAGGTCACGGTGACCTTTGACCTGAATGTTTGTACCAATTTGAGGAAATTCCCTAAAGGCATTCTTGAGATATCATGTTCAGGGGAATGGGACGTACGAGCGTACAACATAATGCCTGCGACCACTGGCTATTGCTGCCAGAGAGGCATAAAAAGACCAGGAAAGAAAAGCAGCAGCAGCAGCAACAACATATGGGACATCAAAATAAACAATTACCCAATTTATCTAAATTAGAGGCCTTAACAAAAATCTTTGAGTTAGACAAATTTGAGGAATCAAGATTGTCAAAATGTAAAGTAAGAAGACATTAAAATGACAAATAAGATAAAGTTGACATTACAATCAAAATAATTGGACCCAAAATGAAAAATAAAATACAGTTAAATAAAACAATGAGGTCGGAAGTTTTAAGATCAAATTTCTAAAAAGTGTACTTGATAACTACTCTAAAGATGGTCTGTATCTTGATCCACAAAAAGGCAGATTTTACAAGTTCAGAACAAACTCATGGGACATGAGATAAAATCTACTTTGATTAACGGGTGCGATAATGTTTTCAGTGCTGAATTGTCACTTAAGACTGTACTGTAATTCAGTCTTTAAAAAGTGCCCACTATGCTCTGAAGGAAAAACCTCCTTCTATATGAGGCAATTGTATGTATTTGGAGGGTTACAAATATGTTCATACTGAAATAAGAAAAGAGAGTTTCAGATGAAAAAAAAAGATTTCCCCCTTAGTGGAGGACTGTGGATTTGAACCCATGTTATACGTTTGTTTTTGCTGGACCCCACAATCAGACAAAAAAATACACTGAGATTACTCACCGCGGTGGCGGGATGGTGAGTAATGGAGATGGCGTCCATGGAGGTGACATGCAGGCTGAAGAGTGAACAGGATGGTAGACCGACAGGCGGGCAAGCAACAAGTAAGCTATGAGGCACAGGCAAACTAGAGTTTCAAATACCCATAGACACAAAATCACAAAAAAGCACAAACTGAATCAGAGAGGTCGGAAGTGAAGTTAGCACATTGGTTGATGGAATGATCTGGCAATGAAGGACTGGGACGCTGAAGAGAAGTGAATGAGGATGAATGAGAATCAGGTGTGCTCAATGAACTAAGTGGAGGGAGGAGTCATTGCCAAGCCAAGTACACACACACACACACACACACACACACACACGCAGGAGAGAAGAGGAAAACACAATGAACAGACAAACATGAAACCTGGAGTCACGGCAGAACCATGACAGTTGTGCTTTGTACAACCACCCGTCATCCAAATCCCTTTAATAAATGTTTCGCTTCTTTAATTCAAAAAAACAAGTTGCCAGTCATTCCGGTACCACCGCAGCTTAATATATGAAGAGGATTTAGGAGACAGAGTTGACTGGCTGTGTGGATTTTGTAGATCTCTTCACATGAACTGCTGTTTCTCTTTTCTGCCCCGTTCAAGTGGCTCGATTTGTATCTTTTGCTTTAGAAGTTTTCTGTGGTTCCTGTAGCACCACCATTAGGCCAAGATTTATAATCTCTGACAAACAAGACGAACAGCCCCATTTGAGACCCAGTGCAAAGTAGTGCAAAGTGTCACCAAGTGTGACACAAGTGCAACTTTCAGACTGATGCAATTATCATTTTCCTGTCTGGTGCCCATAATGCAATTGTGCCCATCTGAGCGCCCATGGGCATGCTGGTCTTAATATGAGGTGTGGTCTGGCACATTGTTGGAGCATTGCTGCATTATATTGTTGATGCAGTATGTCATTGTTATTTTAAGGGAGGATTAAAGACATTCATGTGAATTTCGGATGCAGCTGGTTTTTCCTTTTTTACTTCAGCAATCCAGGGTAAAGCTCGATTAATATCAGGACACATATTCAGGTTTAAAAAAATTTCAGGCTGTTACTTGGAAAAGTTTAAGTGCTCCAAAGTTTGGAAGACTTTCCTCATGCTGTCCTTTACTGCAGCTTCCTCTGTTTCTGACCATAAAAAAATCTGTATAATGTTCTTTTGCTACCCTTTCAACTGAAAATGGTGGACGCTGCCACCCCAAGATTCAAGCACCTATCATGTCTCAAACCATCAATACTTAGTATATGGGCATGACATTCTCAGTGCATGTTTTGTTCCCTATAGATAAACCCTTTATTTAAACATATTCATTTAGCTCAACCTTTTGGAGATCTCCCACTGATGTTGGTTGTGTGTTGCTAATCAAAGAGTTTTTAAACCTGGGCCACACTCCTCCCATCTTTTTGGGTCTAAATGATTAATATAGGACAAATGTTTGAAACCAGTCCAATGCAGTGTTAAAATGAAACGATTAATTTGCACATTTAGACGTTTTTTTTCCGGATAATACAGGTTTAGATTGTCTGAAAACATTATAGATCCGATTCCTAAAGAGACTTATCAAACAGTATGTGAAGGATCTGATCATAGCTGGACCCAAGCTGTCATAATAGCTTAAATAAAAAAGGTAAGGATTAATGTAAAATAACAAATCACATGAGTCATCACTGAAAGGATATGACAGAATAAGCATTTCAGGAGTTCATCTCAGCACACTAGGAGCCTTGACTCAGACTGGGGGATGACCTGTCATATCTCCGTCACCCACTGACTCCGCAAGAGAACATGATTGTTACGAGGAGTACGGTGACAGAGTAACTGTACAAAGAAGTAAGCAAGTAAACAACCAAAAAAAAAAGGTCTCATCCTACTTTGCCATTTCTCCTCCTTTACTTAAATACATATTGTGTTGAAAACTCTTCTCTCGGGAACCATGAGAGTTCATTTGACCTAGATGTTCCTCAATCCCGTTTTCATTTGGGAAATCAGTTCACGCTGTCTTCTATACAGATTCCGTCTCTTTGCTCCATTTTCTTTTTTTTACTGTTTGTCACAAGTATGCCTTGACTCGTGGAAATTGGTTCAGTGGGTGCGGTTCTCCACAGCAAAATTTTACTGAAAGACTACAACTCATTTCACTAGGAAAATAATTTAAAGTGCATTCAGAGGATTCTTAGTTGCAGCCATTTTTTTATTGTTTCATTGGTATTTTTTTTTCATATTTTTCAGAAAAAACGAAAGAGACAAATTGCAGTGTAAAGTCATCATGACATGCACCAAGCACGCTTCCAATGAACATATCAAAAATGGCAGCAGAGAATAGCATCACATGAGAAGAGATTGAGACTTTCCAAAAATGCGACACTTAAACAGACATTGATGTTAAATAATGGAGTTCACCTTTAAGATTTGAATATTCACTTGAAATGTGGATTAAATTTAGCGATTCAATTTAGCGAAATGAAGTGTGAAGGGTTGCATCAGCTATAGATAAGATCAAGTGAGATGAAGTGGAGATAGATAGAAAGAAAGATTAAGGAGGCCATTTATATCTGTCACTGAGAGTGATCCCTGACTAAATCTAAATATACAAAACAATGTCCAATTAAAAGGAGATGGTAAATCAATCTATCCCAAAACAAAAAGTCCCTCAAAAGTTCAGGATTATAATCCATTACTGCAAAATATATTCGACCCCCCTGTCGGAGCCTGGACTATGCAATGCTGGGGCGGTGGAGGAGCTGAATCAACAGGCAGTGATACTGACGCAGGGCAGCAGAGGCAAGCAAAGGGAGAGATGGGAAATGTTTGCAACTTAAACAGTCAAAATTTGGAAGATGTGTATTATAGAGGGCTGTGGACAGTGAGGCATATCACAGATCAGTGCAGCAGCAATTCTGTGCTTATATCACAATATTACATTGAATTAACTAATTAATTAAATTAATTTTTGATATGTAGCTTTTTTCCAGAGAATTTCCATAAAATTCAAAAACAATCACCAGGTGATTTTGCTTAAACTCTGCCTCAGGACATCTCAAGTCAATCTGAGTTAAGACACACAGATACAGATAAGATAGGAGCACTCCAACAACAAGCTTCATATACGCACTCTTGCTGTGGTAGAGAGTTGGCGTTGTAAAGGTCAGGTGGATGAGTCTCCAGACAGCTGATGGCTGCTCTATACATCAGTGACGACAGGTCAAATGTAATGCTTGCTGCATATTACTATGCGTGTAATATTGTATATGGTCCGCCCTGTATGCTTTAAAGAACACATCATTTGGAACCCACACACACACTATACACAGCTCCAGCACCTTTGTATCACACTGTTATGCGGCAGACAAAGTGCTGGTGTATTCATCTTTCGCCTTTGTTTTCTCTCCAGGTGCTAACAGCCCGATTGGTTTCCATCTGAGTGGCCAAGTCATTCCTGTTCACTGGTCTCCTCTGACTTTGACTGACCTGTCATTATCCAGGGTCCTGAATAAAAGAAGCATACCTGAAGGAAAGAGTGATCTATTTCAATCCCTCTGCCGTCGACAACCTGAGCTGTTGCTGCACAAAGACAATGTGTTAGGAGTAATGATACTAATAATAAGAATGATGAAAGGTCTGTGGTGTGAAATTTGAAGTTCCCTTCATTCTCTTATCGAGGTCATTGTTAAATCTAGACACACTGGGATATCAGATTTGCACCAGCTCAGTATTGCTTTTTGTTTATTTTACTTCTCGGGCACCAAAATGAAAAGCAAGAGGTTCAGCGAAGCACATGTGATGATCACACATCGAGCGTGAGGCACTTGTTAGAGATGGTCATGTGATTTGCAGGTTCACATTAGAAGCTACCATTTAGAACTCTGAGATAAAATGATAGTCACGGGTGTATAAGTAATGACTTGTCTCAAATTGTCACTCCACATGAACGCACAATCCCACTGACAAGGATGTAAGCAGACTGAGGCATATTTAGACAGCGGTTACATGTTTCTAAAATGAGTTAAAGACCATGTGTTTCTCTATTTTGGGTTTTTGCTGTTATTTTTCATCTCCTAGACATTTCATGGTGTGATTCTTTTCTGCACATCTCTTTATCATCTTTGCAGTTTTGTACTTTTTCTTCTATTTGTGTCTTTGTGTTTGTATATCGAACAAAAGCGCTTGTTTTCACTTCTTGCCGACGCTCTGGTCTTGGGGCCCCTGGTCTTATTCCCAGTAGGCTTGTTTAAATGCATCTATAAGGGGCCTGTGCACACCCCAGGCCAGCCCTCTGGCCCAGCCTCTGCCGTGCATCGACTGGAGTTCCATGCATTTTTCATATTTCTGTTTTCACCCAAGTCCCTCAGGTGACACACAGCTTTTACACTTTTGTCCATGAAGGGGGAGGCTGAGAGCTGCTCTATTACACGATTGAACACATCCTTTTCATGCTCTGAGTTAACAGGGGGAGGGAAGATCCTGAGGATTCGAATGTCCATATGTTTAGGTTTTCAGAGAAAAGCTGAATATGGGCATTAGGTCAAGGCTCTAACCATCGCTTTAAATCTTGGACTGGCGTCCCCTCTCTGTTACTAGACAGAGGAGGTTGGGCTAGTGGAAGAACCAGATGTGTTTTCGGTAACACTTTATATTAGGGAACACATATCAACCATTAACTAGTTGCTTATTAGCATGGATGTTAGAGGCATATTGGCTCTTTATTAATCATTATACAGCACTTATTAATGCCTTATTCTGCAACTACTCCATTGATTAACAGTTTTCCCTTAATAACCTTCTAATTACTGCTTATTGATGGTAAGTAAGGAAGTGAAATGAATTACAATCAAGTGCTTGGATTTGTTCACTTTGTGTGTTCCCTAATATAAAGTGTTACCGTGTTTTCTCTAGGTTTACAACAACTCTCCTATATAAGGAGCATTGAAGGGGGATCTACTGGTAAAAATGTGATATAATATTTGCAATTATGTTTTTTCCTGGTGTGTCACCTGTATCTAAAAAAACTTTTTGTTTTGTTTTTAATTACCTTAGAATAAGTCCCTCAGATCTACATCGAGGAGTCCACCGTGTTGCACTGCCATGGTCTATGGGAGCCAATAAC